ATAAATAGAACCATCATCAGATTTGGTGAATGTGTAGTGATCCCAAACAGGATAGGTTATTCTCCCAAAATCGGATGAACCAATGGACTTCCTCTTAGAGGATTTATTTAAATCAATTGCTTCAGACAGTACATCATTTACATCCCCTTGCAAAAAAAACCATGGATAGTTTACATTAAATGCTTCTGACAGTATATCATTTACATCAACAACAATAAAAAACTAGGGTTACTTTACATTAAATGCTTCTAACAATATATCATTTATATCAACAGATTTATATATATCAAGAATATACAAAAAAAAGGAATGGGAAGTTTACCTCTTTCAGAATGATTGTCATTCTGATTTGTTAGGTTTTCAACTACAAAACATAAAAAGAATATATTAATTCGAATATTAAAATAAAAATAAAAATGAAAAAAATGAATGAGAAATACCTGGATAATTCAACTCGTACGACAAACTATCCATGAAACCGTAGGAAAAAATATAGGTTTCGAATAGTTTGGATTCCATTTCGGGTTCAGGTTCGGGTTCAGTTCGGGTTTAGGTTTGGGTTTGGGTTTGAGTTCGGGTTCGAGTTTGGGTTTGGGTTTGGGATCGGATTTGGGTTTGGGTTCGAGTTCGGGTTAGGGGTAGAGAAGATTAACAGTGGCTTAGGGTTAGGGGTTAGAGAATATTAGTTTGGGTTTTGGTGTTTGATCAAAAAACTCAAGTTGGTTTTAAGTATTGGGTGTTTGTAAGGATTTGGGGAAGAACACAGATGAACAATGGATGAATTTGTGGGTGTTTGATCGAAAAAAACATGAAATGGTTTGGGTTTCGGTGTTTTTGAAGATCAAATGATGGTTTTAGGGAAGAACTGGGATGAACACGGACGAACACAGATGAATATTTGATTGTTTGATCGAAAAAACATGAAATTGTTTGGGTTTCAATGTTTTTTAAGATCAAATAAGGGTTTTAGGGATGAACCGGGATGAACACGGATGAATATTTTGGTGTTTGATCGAAAAAAACATGAAATGGTTTGGGTTTTGGTGTTTTTGAAGATCAAATGAGGGTTTTGGGAAAGAACTGGGATGAACAAATGAAGAACGTGAATGAATTTCTAGATAGAAGACAGAGGATTTTGAGAGAATCGGAGAGAGCAAAATAACAAACTGAAAAAATAGAGGAAATGGGTGAAAATGAAAAAAAATCCTTTTATACAGGTTCGTTTGGGTTTCAGGTTTGGGTTTTGACCCGCGTGTTTTTTAACTTCGTTTGGTATTATAGCGTTGTCTCCTAGTTTTAAATTTGTTCAATTTAGTCCAAATTTAATAATGCAATATATTAATTTAAGCTTCATATTTAAACTTTTTTTCAATTTAGTCCAAATTTAATGTTACAGTTTATTAATTTAAGCTTCATATTTAAAATTTGTTCAATTTGATCCTTATATATTTTCCAATTCTTTCAATTAATATATATGTTTATATTAATAAATTAATATATATGTTATATATAGTAATGAACTTTTCAATATATAGTTTATATATACTATATAGTATATATATACTAATGAATTATATAATATATAGTTTGTATATACCATATACTATATAGGTTATATATATTAATGCACTATATAATATATAGTTTGTATATACCATATACTATATAGGTTATATATACTAATGAACTATATAATATATAGTTTATATATACTAATGAAATATATATGTATAGTTTATATATACCATATAGTTTATATATATTATATAGTTTATATATACTAATAAACTATATAATGTATAGTTTTATATATACCATATAGTTTATATATACTAATGAACTATATAATATATAGTTTATATATATTATATAGTTTATATATACTATAGTATAAATTATATTATATAATATATAAATATCAACTATAGTATATAGTTTATATGGGTTTTATATATAGTTCATATATGTATATATATATATAATATAGTATATATATAAACTATAGTTTATATATATAGTATATACTATATAAATAGTTTATATAGTTCACTAATAAACTATATATATATAGGTCATATGTAAACTACATAGTTTATATATATAGTTCATATGTAAACTATAGTTCATATGTAAATATCAACTATAGTTTATATGTAAACTATAGTTAGTATATAAACTATATAGTTTATATTTAAACTATAGTTCATATATAAATATTAATTATAGTATATATATAATTCATATGTAAACTATAGTTCATATATATAGTATATAAATATAAACTATAGTTTATATAAATAGTATAAAATATAGTATATAAATATAAACTATAATTTATATATATAGTATATACTATATAAATAGTTTATATAGTTCACTTATAAAATATATATATAAGTCATATGTAAACTATATAGTTTACATAGTTTATATAGTTTATACATATAGTTCATATGTAAACTATATAGTATATATAGTTTACATATAGTATAGGTTAGTTTATATTGTTTATATATAGTTTAAATACTACTATCTATAAGCTATATAATTTATATATAATTGCATAAATTAACCCTAAATCATAAACCCTAAACCTTAAACCATATATATATATATAAACTATATAGTTTATATTAATAAACTATATAATTTATACAATATATATTATTTATAATTATACATAATATATAAATATAAATTGTATAGGTTATATATAATTCATATATAATTTATATATAAACTATGTACTTTCTATATAGTTCAATAATTCATATATAAATTATATAGTATTATAATTTATACATGGTATCTATAGTTTATACATAATATATATATAATATATAGTTTACATATAGTATATAATAATATAAATATAAACTATATAGTTTCTATATATAATACGTATACTTTATATATAAATTATATAGTTTTTATTACATATAATAGTTGTTTTAATTTTTTTCTCAACTTTTGAAATGAATGCAATTTAGTCCATTTTATAGTATTTTTTTCACGTTTTGCAATCATTTCGATTTGATCCTTTTGTGTTGTTTAATTCATTTAAATTTTAATTTCATATTTGTTCAATTTAATCCTTAAAATTATATTTGCATCTAAAATTGACTCATACTTATTACTTATTTATATTTTTTAATTGACCCATAACTTTTTAAATGTGTATAATTTAGTACTTTTTTATATTAATTTCAACCTCACAATTTAAAATTATTTCGATTTGATCCCTCATCAATATGTGTTGTTTAATTTATTTAAATTTTAATTTGTAATTTCATATTTGTTCAATTTAGTCCTTAAAATTATATTTCCATCTGAAATTGACCCATACTTATAACTTATTTCTATTTTTTAATTGGCCCATAGCTTTTTAAATGGCTATAATTTAGTACTTTTTTGTATTAATTTCAACCTCACAAATTTAAAATTATTTTGATTTGATCCCTTTGTGTTGTTTAATTTATTTAAATTTTTATTCATAATTTTATATTTGTTCAATTTAGTCCTCCAAATTATATTTGCATCTGAAATTGACCCATACTTATTACATATTTATATTTTTTAATTGGCCCATAACTTTGTAAATGGGTATAATTTAGTACTTTTTGTATTAATTTCAACCTCACAATTTAAAATTATTTCGATTTGATCCCTTATCAATGTGTGTTGTTTAATTTATTTAAATTTTTATTTGTAATTTCATATTTGTTCAATTTAGTCCTCCAAATTATATTTGCATATGAAATTGACCCATACTTATTACTTATTTATATTTATATTTGGCCCATAACTTTTTAAATGGGCATAATTTAGTACTTTTTTGTATTAATTTCAACCTCACAATTTAAACTTATTTTGATCCCTCATCAATGTATGTTGTTTAAATTATTTAAATTTAAATTTGTAATTTCATATTTGTTCAATTTAATTCTTAAATTTGTATTTTTCATAAAATTGAACCATGATTATTTATATTCTTAGTAATTTACTTTAAATCATATACAATTACAAATTGCAATTCAACGTTCACGAAAGAAGAAAATAATTAATCCAAAAATAAAAATTAAACCGATTTGAACTCAATCCGTATATGAAAGAGATCTGACCTGAATTTTATCTGCCAATAATGTGACCCGATCTGAACGAGATCCGCCTAAAGTCCATCTGATCCTGAATTAACCTGCTTTTTAACTGCTCCGGGCCTGAACTGTTTTAACCTAAACTGACATTGATCCGAACTGAAAGTAACCCGACCTGAACCCGAACTGTACCTAGTGTCAAATCAACCTAAAAATGACCCGACCTGATTTGACATGGACCCGACCTGATCCGAGTCGAAGCATCAAATTTACCTGACTTGACATGTATCCGATTTTACCTGACCTGACAGGATCTGACTGAAACCTGAATGATTACCCGATTTTATATCCCTACTCTCATTTGCGTAACGTTTTTGGTAGCAAATTTATTTGTCTTGGAATTATATGCAGAAAAAATTATCAAATAAATATATATAAGGATAAGATATATTTAAGCAATAAAAAATTAAAAAATTTATATTAATTTAATATCATTAAGTGAGTGTAAATTAATCATTAACATTATTCACTTCTCGCTTTTTTTTAAAAAAAAAATCATCATTTTTTAAATTTTAATCTCAATTATCAATTAGTTTAGTGATCTTTAATTAATTAATGTAAAACTATCAAATTGTAATTGTAAACATAATGTAAAAAATTCGATTAAAGTTTTAATGGCCTATCAAATTGTAATTGTAAACATAATGTAAAAAATTCGATTAAAGTTGTAATGGCAGTAATTTCAACGTCGGAGAATTGTCCAAAGGCTTGAAGCCTATTTAACCATGGCTCTATGGGCTTTTCTTCATCATCCACCTCTTTTATCAATTCAACTCGTCTTTTTTTCTTGGCATATTTCATCTCAACATCATGAACAGCACCACTGATTTTCTTCTTCTTCTTCTTGTTTTGTCGTCACAATGTCTCATAGTTTGCTTAGCTATGAGAACCAAGAATCACACCACCGATCAATTTGCACTTCTCCGATTCAAAGATCAAATAGTCGATCCTAAAAATGTATTGAGAAACAATTGGACGTCCTCCAGCTGTGTTTGCAAATGGGTTGGTGTTTCTTGTGGTGTCATCCATGAAAGAGTTACTGCTTTGAATCTTTCAAACATGGATCTTAAGGGTACTATCCCTCCACACGTTGGGAATCTTTCATTACTACATTCTCTGGACTTGAGCAACAACCATTTCTATGGCCATCCGCCTAAAGAATTGAGGCAGTTGCATCGCTTGAGGATCGTTCAATTAAGCTTCAATGATTTTAATGGAGAAATCCCATCGTGGCTTGGGAACTTACGTAGAGTTAAGATGTTGCTTGTGAGAAATAATAGTTTTACGGGCACAATCCCTCAAGCACTTGTCAACATGTCAAATCTGGAGACTTTAGATTTGGGATCGAATCAACTATTTGGTCATATTCCATCTTCCATCTTCAAGCTTTCTTCTTTGGAAGAGATTATTCTTGACAATAATGAATTATCTGGTAATATTCCACTGAATATAGGTAGATGCAGCAGCCTTCAAATCTTGGTATTACATGCAAATAAACTCAGTGGGATCATTCCAAAAACTATTGGAAATTTGACACGACTCAAAGGATTATATTTAGGAATTAATAACTTACGAGGTAAGAATTTTTTTTATAGATTTTTGTTAGTTTAAACGTAATAGGATTTTAAATCTTGAATTTTGATTCATAATGCATACCAAAAGAAACTTCTTTGATTTATGCTAACAAAATAGACAGCTTAATAAATTGATTTTGTTTACAGGTGAAATTCCTCAGGAAATTGGCAATCTTCTCAATTTGGAGACCAAAAATCCCATATAATATACGATTTTAACCAACTTTTTACGGATTTGCCAAAATGACCAACAAAATCGCAATGCGATCGCTAATTCGCAACGCGATCTCCATTATCGCAAATTCGCGTTGCATTTCGCGTTGCGATAGTTGGAAATCGCGTTGCGATGGTCTACAGTGTCGTTGCGATTTTCCCAATTCGCAATGCAAATAAGTAAATCGCAACACGAATTGGGAAAATCGCAATGCGATACTGACTATCGCAATGCGATACTTACTATCGCAATGCGATAATACAAAATCGCAACGAGATACTGACTTTCGCAACGCGATTCTGACTTTCGCAACGCGATAATACATAATCGCAATGCGATTTTCTAAGCGCCATTAGTATCCTGGCCAAGTATTTTATTTTTAAATTCCAAACATGAATATTAATATATTGGAACACTGAACCGTCCACAGTATATCCCGTAATCGCAACTCATAACCTAAAACCTAAAATCACAACTCAGTCTCATCTCCATCTCTCACTCTCTCACCCATCTCCGACGAAATCCGTCCCCATCTCCGGCGAAATCCGTCTATCTCCATCTCTCAGAGCCACCCTCACAATCAGAAATGGAAAATCAACCAAATCAACCAACGAGGGTTAGTTTTTTTAATTATTTTCTTTTTAAAATTTTTGCATTATTATTAGGTTTTTCATATTGAAATTGATGATAAGTTTACTGGTAATTTCAATAATAGATTAACCATTTCACTTAGATTGCTTATTAAATCAACCGAGAATCGCAACACGAAATGAAAATCGCAACGCGATTTTAGTTTCTCGTTGCGATAGTCAAATTCGCGTTGCGATAGTCATTTTCGTGTTGCGATTTTCATTTTCAGAAACTATTCTTCTTCTGCAAATTGAAACTTGAATGAATTGCATTACTTCAATCAAAAAACAAAGACAAATACGAAATTCACAGTGTTGCAAATTTAAGTTTGAAGAATAAACTACTACTCTTTATGTTTATTATTGTTTTTGGTATATCTTCACAGTGTAGTTTTTGGTATATCTAACTTAGTATGTTTATTGTTTTTGTAGAACTTTTATTCGGCTCAATTGACCTTAAGAAATAAAGTCAGCCTGGCCAAAACAATTGCGTCGAAGCTTTCACCTGCACAAAGAAAAATGTTTGAGGATACATGCTTCGGGCCATGGCTGAAAGTACAACATCCCGGTGGAGATGCGATGTTGACACACCTGTTTCTTCAAACCATAACTAGCGATCTACCAGAGACTATACAACGTCGTGATGAAGAGATATGGTTTGATTTTCCACCGGCGTATACGTGCTTTGGGCGGGAGGAGTTTTGCTTAATCACCGGTCTACGCTTCGGACACGATGATGTAGGTCGGTACACTATACACATTACCCGCCCATCATGGCTATCCCAGGTTTTTCCTGAGCTGGAGAGGCCGAATCTACACGTATAAGACCTGACAAGATTGTTGAATAAGAAAGATGGTTTTACTCGGATGGATGACGTCGACGTTGTCCGAGTATGCCTTCTAATTCTTTTGCATGCCGGCTTTTTAGGCAGAGAGGCCAGACAACCTATTCCAAATGATCTAATCAAATTGGTAGAAGACCTAAATGCGTGGAACCTATTTCCGTGGGGCTCATATTTATGGAAAGCTACATGGAATAAGTTATCGTTTGCCTTGGATGATCGAAAAAGTTTGCATGGCGATGGTTCCAAATACACTTTGACAGGCTTTATTTGGGCCTTTAAGGTAAGAATTTTTATATAATGTTTCCAAAATTATAAGTAATTATTTAACAATTACTAATGTTTGTTATTATATTGTTTGTAGATTTGGATATTTGAGGCCTTTCCCGCCATGAAGACATATGCAATAAAAACTTCAAATGATATTCCCAGGGCTATTTCCTCGAAGAGGAAACGGACCTTGCAATGGGAAGATTTACTACGGTATACGATAATAAATAATGTAAGTTAACATAAATACTACCATATGTTTATAAACAAGTTATTACTAGTACACGTTTAACTTTGTTTGAGCTTTTATATTGTTAGGAGGCCAACACTCCTCTACAGAGGCTGACACCCACGGAAGCTGAGCTTGCCACTGATTGGTGGCAAGCTAGTAAGCGTTTTTTTGATGGAACAGTTGATGAGCAGCCTCCACTTCGGGAGCCATCACCTCGCCCAGAGCTATCACCTCACCCAGAGCCATCATCTGATCGACCCGACTATACACCTCCACAACGACAGCCATCACCTATTCTGTCACATCATCGAGCCTCTTCTCCACCATCACTGCAAGACAGGCGACCGGCAAAGATGCCACGATGTTTATCTCCCTGTTCTCCACCTCCACCTCAACGAGATGAGTTAGGGGAGTTACGTGATGAGGTCAATGCCTTGCGTGAGAAGGTCGGTACTTTACGCAAAGACGATGGTGCATGGCGTGTTGAGGTGTCTACATTACGCGGTGAGGTAGCCACTCTACTTGAGATGGTAGCATCGTTGCAGAATGAGGTTCATACTCTACGCAACGAGGTAAGTTTAAGATTTTTCATACTCGTAATTCATTCGGTTGCTGCCAATACTGCTAAACTATTTTTGTTAGTATTTGTTTTTGGTTTTGTTTTTGTCTTTTGGTTGAAGTAATGCAATCCATTCAAGTTTCAATTTGCAGAAGAATAATAGTTTACTTTCGCAACACGAAAATGACTATCGCAACGCGGAAATGGCTATCGCAATGCGAAATGAAAATCGCAACGACAAAACCGCAATGCGAAATGAAAATCGCAACGACAAAATCGTAACGCGAAATGAAAATCGCAATGCGATTTGTGTTTTGCGTTGCGATTTTGTCGTTGCGATTTTCATTTCGCATTGCGATAGCCATTTCCGCGTTGCGATAGTCATTTTCGCGTTGCGATTTTAAGTTTCGTGTTGCGAAAGTAAACTATTCTTCTTCTGGAATGTTTATATATGTTATCCTTTTAAATGTTTATATAAGTGCTTACTTCTGGAATGTTATCTGAGCATTTTGTGAACTATAATAGAATAATGACTTGGGTGAATACAATGCTAGTTTGAAACATATTTGTCTTTGTTTAATATCATGTCTGTTTATTTACTGATTTATGTATTAATTTTTTTTTAGCGGCCCGATAAGGTGGATGCTTTACGTCGAGTTTTCCTTGCACGACGGGGTTCACGCATCAGACGGCGTGGACGTGCTATTACGTCTCCGTTCACCCCAATGGTGCGAAGACTCCGCAAGAAGAAGCCCGACTCACCTGTCATCCCTCAAGAGTCCCCTCCAATCGTTCAAGAGGCCCCTATCCTCCCTCAAGAGTCCCTCCTACCGTTCAAGAGGCCACTGTCATCGTTGAAGAGGTCCCTCCCACCATTCTAGAGTCCGATTCACATGGGGTAATATATCGAAGTATTGAGAAACCCCCACCGGTTCCGGACATGATGGATGAGAGTTGGCTCTCGTATGAGTTACCGGCTAGTACCCTTTCGGTATCTGAAGTGGAGAGGAGACAACTACCGAAAACAATTGTGGATAATACCCTTTGGGCTAAGACCGCAGTTGATTTTTATCTACATGAGCGGAGCCAAGGGTGTTACACTGACATAAGCAAACTCAACGATGAAATGTTTTTGTTGCTTGATCGGTCTTGGTAGGGTGTGCTATTAGGGGTTGAAGACAGTGGCTATTTCGATGGGGAGGTAAGTTTTATATTTGTCTTATATATGATTTTGATTAATTTTTTTAAAAAATAATGTAATTCACTAATATATGTATTTTTTTGTAAAACAGCATATCGATGCGTGGGTGTCACGTCTACTAATAATAAGGAAGCTTAGGAAAAAAAAAAAATTCGCGATATACAATAATGCCGGCGGCTTTTCACGCAGTTCACTTGAAGAATCAACGAGATGAATCATTTTCGTTGGGCAATGGACAAGCTAAACTTTATCCTGCATGGTGGGAGGTCGATAAGGTTAGTGTTTATTTTTTAAATTTTTTAAAGGTGTTCATAAATAAGTGCGCAAATAAATGAATTATTACTTATGATTGCAGGTGTTTATCCTTGTTTTGGAACGTCGTCATTGGCTTCTCGTCCAACTTCAGCTCTCATCCCTGAAGATAATAGTGTATGACAGCATGATAAATTACATATCACTGTCTGATTTGAGAGATATGATCAAGGGATGGAGCTCTCATTTGGCTAAATTCATGGATGGGATTAATTATTGGACTCATTCTGGACACAAGAAGCCAAAGAAGTTCAATGTCACAGTTTTCAGAGACGAGACCGCGCCACAACAATCGTCGGGAGCCAGAGGGGATTGTGGTCCTCTCGTATGCTTGTGCTTGGCGCGTTTGACGACGGGAAGCACAGAGTTTCTACCTCCCACCGATAGAGATAGAGCTGCAGTAGGCTTGTGGTTTCGGCATTATATGGCTAGAGCAATATATTCGAGATGCTGCCTACCTGCATCCGCCTTATGAAAGTGTCCATTGTTAATTGGTAAGTCAAATGCAAGTTTTGTTAACATATATACTCCTTTTGGTTTGAAAATGTTTGGTTAAGTACCTAGAATTCAATAATTTGTTGTTTGTAGGTTTTAGATGTGTAGGAAGTCTTGTTTGAGCAAATGTTTGGTTTCTGCAGGTTAATCCTTAAGTGAGCTGCGTGAAATGGATGTACGGGGTCACAAAGTTGTTGATTCATTGATTCAATTATTTATGAAGAAATAAGAATTATTATTATTTTTTTATTGTTTAATTGATTTGTAAAAGATGATTTGTAAATGTTGATTTGTTTAATTGATGTGTACATAATTCTTATTTGTGCTTGTTTAATTGATTGAAATGTAATAGTTGATTTGTTGATTTTCAATCTGCATTATTTTGAAGGCAAAATAGACTATCGCAACACGAAACTGACTATCGCAACGAGAGAATCGCAATACGAAATGAAAATCGCAATGTGAAATGAAAATCGCAATGCAAAATGAAAATCGCAATGCGAAATGAAAATCGCCATTTTCGCGTTGCGATAGCCATTTTCGCGTTGCGATAGTCAAATGAATGTCTAACACCATGAACATTCTCTCATGACCCTCCAAAACACAAATCTATCCAAACATGATCAACATTAGATGATTTCATGGTTGTAAATTAATTTACTAAACAAACGAGCTGCGAAACTAAGACCTGTTGCCGGATGGGGAAGGATGTAGGAATGGATGTCGCCAGAGAGAGTGAAAGATGGAGATGGAATGAGTTACGATTTAGGGATTTAGGTTATGAGTTGTTGCTGCTGCGTAGATATATACCCAAAAAATTTGTGTTGCGAAACTAAAACCTGTTGCGAACTTTGAAAATCGCATTGCGATTCTGTATTATCTCGTTGCGAAAGTCAGTATCGCGTTGCGATAGTCAGTATCGCATTGCGATTTTACCAATTCGCGTTGCGATTTACTTATTCGCATTGCAAATTGGGAAAATCGCAACAACACTGTAGACCATCGCAACGCGATTTCCAACTATCGCAACGCGAATTTGCGATAATGGAGATCGCGTTGCGAATTAGCGATCGCATTGCGATTTTGTTGGTCATTTTGGCAAATCCGGAAAAAGTTGGTTAAAATCGTATATTATAAGGCATTTTTGGTCACTAAGGCGATTTTCTCATTAAAGATCTTTCGACTTCAATTCCGACTTTTGTCTTCAATATATCTTCTCTAAAGACTATTGTTTTATCCAATATTCGTTTATCAAATAGTTTGCCTGATGATCTATGTCATCATCTTCCCAAACTTGAAGGGCTTTATTTGGGCTTAAATGAATTATCCGGTCATATTCCACCAAGTATAGGCAAATGCAGCACGAAACTGACTATCGCAACGAGAGAATCGCAATACGAAATGAAAATCGCAATGTGAAATGAAAATCGCAATGCAAAATGAAAATCGCAATGCAAAATGAAAATCGCAATGCGAAATGAAAATCGCCATTTTCGCGTTGCGATAGCCATTTTCGCGTTGCGATAGTCAAATGAATGTCTAACACCATGAACATTCTCTCATGACCCTCCAAAACACAAATCTATCCAAACATGATCAACATTAGATGATTTCATGGTTGTAAATTAATTTACTAAACAAACGAGCTGCGAAACTAAGACCTGTTGCCGGATGGGGAAGGATGTAGGAATGGATGTCGCCAGAGAGAGTGAAAGATGGAGATGGAATGAGTTACGATTTAGGGATTTAGGTTATGAGTTGTTGCTGCTGCGTAGATATATACCCAAAAAATTTGTGTTGCGAAACTAAAACCTGTTGCGAACTTTGAAAATCGCATTGCGATTCTGTATTATCTCGTTGCGAAAGTCAGTATCGCGTTGCGATAGTCAGTATCGCATTGCGATTTTACCAATTCGCGTTGCGATTTACTTATTCGCATTGCAAATTGGGAAAATCGCAACAACACTGTAGACCATCGCAACGCGATTTCCAACTATCGCAACGCGAATTTGCGATAATGGAGATCGCGTTGCGAATTAGCGATCGCATTGCGATTTTGTTGGTCATTTTGGCAAATCCGGAAAAAGTTGGTTAAAATCGTATATTATAAGGCATTTTTGGTCACTAAGGCGATTTTCTCATTAAAGATCTTTCGACTTCAATTCCGACTTTTGTCTTCAATATATCTTCTCTAAAGACTATTGTTTTATCCAATATTCGTTTATCAAATAGTTTGCCTGATGATCTATGTCATCATCTTCCCAAACTTGAAGGGCTTTATTTGGGCTTAAATGAATTATCCGGTCATATTCCACCAAGTATAGGCAAATGCAGCAACCTTCAAATTTTAGTATTATCTCTTAATAAATTCTGTGGGTTCATACCAAGAAGCATTGGAAATTTAACACGACTCCAAGAATTATATCTGGGAGGTAATCACTTACAAGGTAAGTATTTTTCATGGGTTTTCGTTAGTTTACAAGTGTTAGGATTTTAAAATTTTGAAATCATTTTTTCTGCAAGCCAAAATATTTGATTTGTTATTGTAGCATAGTTATATACAATGAAAGTCTAACGTCTCCAAATTACTCTGTAATAAAAAGAAAATCTCTTTCATTTAGGCTTACAAAATAGATAAGTTAATACATTGATTTTCAGGTCAGATTCCGATTGGTATATTCAACAATTCTTCTCTGAAGACTATTGTTTTATCCAATAATAATCTATCAGATAGTTTGCCTGATGATCTATGTCGCCGTCTTCCCAAGCTTGAACTGGTTTACCTACGAAGGAATGAATTATATGATAATATTCCATCAAGCATAGGTGAATGCTACAACCTTCGGTTTTTAAAACTATCAGCAAATCAATTTTCTGGACTCATTCCCAAAAGTATTTTTAATTCATCCATGTTCAAAGGAAGATATCTATCTGACAACAATTTAAAAGGTATGTTGTTTTCCCTTTGATTTTCTCCCTAGTATTTTTTAGTACATTGTACACAAAGATTAGTGTTTATTGCTTATATATGTTTGAATATTATAGAGCAAGCTCTCGGGGAGCATCCTTCGACTCTTGACCTTCAATCGAATCTACTTCATTTCTTCGTCTCAGAAAATGATTTGGTCGGAGAAATCCCCTCTACGATTTGCAATTTGAGTTCTCTTGCTGTAATTGACTTGTCCAAGAATAAGTTGGGTGGAGTTATTCCAAGCTGTCTTGGGAATTCCAGTTATCTCTCGGTTGTGGATCTGAGAATGAATAACTTCATTGGCAAAATCCCACCAATATACATTGAAGGTGGCATATTGAGAAGTCTTAACCTCAATGGCAACCAACTCGAAGGATCAATACCAACATCTTTGAGTAACTGAAAAAGGCTGGAAGTTTTAGATTTGGGAAACAACAACTTGGTTGACACGTTTCCATATTGGTTAGGCAAGCTCCAGAATCTGCAAGTTCTTGTTCTTCGATCAAATAGATTCTGTGGTGGCATTGGCATAGAAGATTTTAATGGCACGTTTTCCTTCAGCAGTTTGCGAATGATTGATCTTTCTCGAAATGAGTTCACTGGTCGCCTTTCCCCTGCACTATTTGATCATTTCAAAGCAATGAGAGATATTCAGGAAAACAAAACCAGTCCAAGTTATATGGGAGAAATTTATTATTCTCAGTATTATGTACTAAGTTATTATAATGATCCTATAATTGTAACAATGAAAGGATTGGAGATGAAGCTTGAGAGAATTTTAACTATTCTCACAGTCATTGATTTTTCATCCAACCATTTCCAGGGACCGATTCCTGAAGCAGTCGGAGAACTTAACTCGCTGATAGTGCTCAACTTCTCCCACAACAGCTTAACAGGTAACATCCCACCATCACTCGGAAAATTGGCAGCGCTGGAGTCGTTAGATCTCTCAGCAAACAAGCTCCAAGGAAGAATTCCGCAGCAGTTAACCCAGTTGTCGTTTCTTGGAGCATTGAATCTTTGTCAGAACAAGCTAGAGGGGCCTATACCACAAGCAAGTCATTTCGATACTTTCTCCAATGATTCCTTCAGTGGTAACTCCGGGCTATGTGGATTTCCATTGTCAAAGAAATGCGACAACGATGTGGGATCGGAATCACCTGCGTCAACAGTTGCTGATGATCATGAATCTGAAACAGCACTTTTTTGGAAAATTACAGCAATGGGTTATGGATGTGGACTGGTGTGTGGATTCAGCATGGGATACATCGTTTTCACAACTGGGAGACCTCGTTGGCTAGCGAAGATGATCAAGCGAAACCCACAAAAGAGAAACAGAACAAGACTCCATCGAAATGGAGGGAGAAGGAATTAGCAATGCAGCTATAGGGGTTCCTTCCAGGAACTTTTTCACAAAAGTTTCCATGTATTCTAGTTTTAAACATCGTTTTTATCCATGATATCCAATAAGTTTTAGACAATTTAAGGTCTTAGTTTCTTTAAAACTCCATAAATCAAAACGTGAATATAATTATTTATTAATTCATATTTGATACACTAACCACATAAACTTCTATAAACCTTAAGTGAAACTAAAATTAATTTTACTTTTAAAATTTTTCCTATGCTACAACACCATTTAAAAACAGCAGGTATGATGTATGATTCAGTCTCAACCATTACATTATGAAGAGATCAAAGATGTGCCTGCCTTTTACAAAATTATTATTATTATGGGCAAACTACACGGGAGACCACTAAACTATGGTCAAAAATCAATGTAACCACCGAACTTTCAATTGAATCAATCAGACCACCCAACTATTTAATTGAACCAATCAGACCACCGACCATTAATTTCTAAGGTGGTGACGTATCCCTCAAGAAAATTGGCATAATTATATATTTGGTCCTTAATATTTACATATTCTATCAATTTAGTCACTATTTTAATTCAATTAGATAAATTTAACTATCCAATTAGAATGTGACAAGTGTCAATACATGATTGAAAAATTTTATTTATAAATTTTAAATTATTTAATTAAATAATTTTTCTATCAAAACAGGTGGTGACACGTGTCACCACCCAATTAAAATGAAAATAAAAGGGACTAACATGTTTACGAGGGGAATTGAACTTGTGTCCCTACCAGGTTTTCAAACCATTGGGCCAAAGGTCCCAATGATTTAAATTTACAACAATTTATATTTGACTTGTACAAGTTTGTTAATGACAAAAAATTAAACAAATTATTTGTTTAAACAAATTATTATTTAAATTAATTGTAAATTATTTTTTAATTAAAATTATTCAATTTTTATATAAATTAGAAAATTTAAAAAAATCGCTAATTCTAAATTTGACCGAATTAAGTTAATAATTTTCAAATAAATTTCAGTTCGATTAATGGTTAAAGAAAAAAATCCATTTAATTCGATTCGGTTAATAATTTTTAAAATAATTCGGTTGGTTAATAATTTTCAAATAAATTTTGGTTCGATTAACCGAATTTTTGCTTCGATTAATTCGGTTAATAATTTTAAAAAAATCATTTAATTCGGTTCGGTTAATAATTTTCAAATAAATTTTGGTTCGATTAACCAAACTGAAATTTTGCTTCGATTAATTCAGTTAATAAAAAAAATTGGTTAATTCGATTCGATTAATAATTTTTAAATTAATTTGGTTCGGTTAATAATTTTCGAATAACTTTTAGTTCGATTAACCGAAATGAATTAACCAAATTTTTGCTTCAATTAATTCGGTTAATTTGGTTTGGTTAATAATTTTCAAATTAATTCGGTTTGGTTAATAATTTTCAAATAAATTTTGGTTCGATTAACCGAACCGAATTAACAAAAAAATTTCTTCGATTAATTCGGTTAATTTGGTTCGGTTAATAATTTTCAAATAAATTTTGGTTCGATTAACCGAACCGTATTAACCAAAAAAATTTATTTAACTGTTAATCGAACCAAAATAAATTTGAAAATTACTAACCGAATCAAATTAACCGAATTTTTGCTTCAATTAATTCGGTTAATTTGGTTTGGTTAATAATTTTCAAATTAATCGGTTTGGTTAATAATTTTCAAATAAATTTTCGATTAACCGAACCGAATTAACAAAAAAATTTCTTCGATTAATTCGGTTAATTTGGTTCGGTTAATAATTTCAAATAAATTTTGGTTCGATTAACCGAACCGTATTAACCAAAAAAATTTATTTAACTGTTAATCGAACCAAAATAAATTTGAAAATTACTAACCGAATCAAATTAACCGAATTTTTTTCTTTAACCATTAATCAAACCGAAATTTATTTGAAAATTATTAACCGAACCGAAAAAAATTCGGTTAATTCGGTCAATTTTTTAATTAATGATTGTTTTTAAAATTTTCTAATTTATATAAAAATTTAATATTTTTAATTAAAAATAGTTTAAAATTAATTTAAATAATAATTTGTTTAAACAAATAATTTTTTTAATTTTTTTATCATTAACAAACTTTTACAAGTCAAATACAAATAGTTGTAAGTTTAAACTTTTGGGAACCTTTGACCCAATGGTGACACGTATCACCATCTGATTAAATAGAAAATTTATTTAATTAAATAATTTAAAATTTATAAATAAAACCTTCCAATCATGTATTGACACGTGTCACGTTCTAATTGGATAGTTACATTTATTTAATTGAATTAAAATAGTGACTAAGTTTATAAAATATGTAAATATTAAGGAACAAATATATAATTATGCCAATTTTCTTAACAAACATGTCATCACCTCTGTTAAAAATTAATGACAGGTGGTCTGATTGATTCAATTAAATAGTTGGGTGGTCTGATTGATTCAATTGAAAGTTCGGTGGTCACATTAACTTTTTACCATAGTTTAGTGGTCTCCCGAGTAGTTTACCCTATTATTATATATATAAAGTTCACACTTGTTAAAAATCAAGACTCAACATCACACTAGAATTATTAAATTTTCAAGACTTAATTAAAGTTTATTTAAAATGAAAAAAATACTTATATTAAACCCAAAACCTTACTAAAAAATCTTATAATACATTTTGGTTAATTCTAAAACGATTGAATTGGTTAAATTTATTCAATTCGATTAATAATTTAAAAGTTTTATTTAGTTGACAATTGAATATAAATAAATCGTTTAGTTTTGATTAATTTGATTTGACTAAATATTGATACGATCTAAATAAAATTAAACAAAATCTTACGAAATAAATTCGGATCTCAAACCTGTTCTGGTAATAGCTCATCTCTAACCCTAATTGTCATTAGGAGTATAAACGAGCCGAGCCGAGCTCGACTCGAACTCGAAAACTTTAAACATAAGCTCGACTCGAATCGAAAACTCGCAAGCCTAAAATTTTCAAGCTCGACTCAAACTCGAAAGATAATATTAAAACTCAACTCGAACTCGAAAAGACTCAAACTAAAAAAATTCAAAAGTTCGACTGAAGCTCGAAATTCAAGCTTGATTGAAACTTGATTTTGAGCTCAATTCAAACTCGATTTTGAGCTCGATTCAAACTCGATTGTGAGCTCGATTCAAACTCGATTGTGAGCTCGATTCAAGCTCGATTTGGAAATAGTTTTCAACCAGAATTGATGCACCTCGGTTAGAACCCCTGCCTTTTATAATAGACTCAAGCATTCTTTCCCTATTAAGTTACCTATGTGGAATTCTTTTCAATTTGGAATTCACTGATGGGAAGCAAAGCAACTTATGGGAACCAACAGTGGCGCCGCTCGGTAGGTCAGGTACCACTACTATGCTCTCAACAAATTATTTATCAGAAACCAAATAAATTTTACTACTCTTTTCTTGGAAATAGAAAAATAATATTTGTATGTGAATATTGATTTTAAATACTAAATTTTAAATAAATTATAATTATAATTATAATTTTGGTTCATGACTGGATTGTTTGTCTTCAAATGTTCAATTTATCTATAGAATAGAGACGTAATAAATAAAGCATTCAATAAATTTATCAAAAAAAAATAAAGTATTTGCTAAAATGTATTGTATAAGGTTTGTTTATTAAATTAAATAAACGAGTATGAATATAATTTTTTATGTTCGTTTAATAAATGAGAAAACACGAATAAAGATGTATTCAGTTCGATCATAATTTATCTTGTTACTAAATCTAAATTCCAAAATAAGATTAATACTCATAATTTGGTATAAATAAAACTTCATCAAGTTTAAATCATAAAAAGAAATTTCGTAAATTAATTTTATTTTAATATAAAATTATACTATTGAATCATATGTGATTTACCAGGATAATGCCAAATTAATTATTGAGATTTTTAATAATTAAGGGTTTAGGGTTTAAGGGTAAGGTTTAAGGGTTAGGGTTTAATGTTTAATGTTTAGGGTTTAAGATTTATGGTTTATATAGTTTAAGGCTTAAAGTTTGTGGTTTAAGGTTTAGGGTTCATTGCAAAGACATTAATTAATCGACTTCCGCACCGATTTATGTGGTAAGTATAATATAGTATTTTTATATTAAATGCTCAAAGTCTCAAACTCTTGATATTTATGATATTTGAACCCAAAACCTCAAAATATAACAACAATTTAAATAATTAGTTATTAAAAATATTATCATTAAAAATATATTAAATATTTGTCATTAGATAAATACTTTTTTTATTAATTTAAAATAAATATAAGAATATTTTTCTACGTTGTCAAGTACTTGTGCAATAAAAAGTTAAAAAAGAAAAAAATCAACCAAACATGTGTAATCTAACATGTGCTTAATTAAATAGACTTTTATTTTTCCTTTAGTAATATACAATGTAATAATTGGATTTGGGTTGGTTAATTAAAAAAATTAAAATTTGATGGCAGTTGTATTATAGAATTTTTAATATATTTTTAAAATTTTATAATTATCAATAGTGTATTTTTAATATATTTTTAATAATATAATTTTAAAAAATCTAAAATTATAATATCATTTTTATAACATTTTTTCGAGCTGCTCACGAGCTTTTTGAGTCGAATATCGAGTAGCTCGTTTCGACTCGTTAAGAACTCGAGTCGAGTCTATTCGATCTGAGTATTTATTGAGCCTTGATCGAGTCGATCTCGAGTAGCTCGTGATCTGTCTTGTCTCATTTCCAGCCCTAATTGCCAGAGCCCACCAGAGTCAAAGCCTTTTCATTCTCTTATTTATATTATTATTTTTATTATATAATATATATAGGCATTTTTCCCGAAAAATCATCGGTCACCGGTATATTTACCGATATGAAACCGGTCAGACTATATTTCCCGATCTAACACCCTTAGTAGTGAAGTGCGACCCCTGCACCGCGCTATA